GCATTGGTGCTCATGGAAATAATCTGTGCAGAGAGAGAGAGAGAGAATTAACGAAAGACAATGTAGTGAATCACGACAATCATGGCACTCCAGCGCATACGCTTACCTCTACAATCAGATCACGTTTCAGCTTGCGTGAGAATGTGGTATTTACACGCTCGACTAAATTCTTGGCGCCATTGTATTCGAAGGTTACGCCTGCATAGAATTTTACATTGCGGAAGCTGCTAATGAGCGTGTTGCCATTGAGTAATGAGTTGCGTTCATCGTCGCGCAGCACAATGTAATTCTCATCATGATAACCCGGCTGGGTGATGACAATATTGGACGCGCCTGTAAAAGCGACAAAAAATAGGGATTGCAAATGTGAAGGAGAGTTTTTAAGAAAATTTTTAAACGAGAAAATAATTTATATATATCCTTTAGTTTTCTAGTGTGCAAGCATATTGGGGCGTATTCTTCCTTTCGTATGAATCGGAAATCATGAAATTTTCCTATCATTTTCTATACAAAAATTTTAAATTTTCGATTCGTACGAAATCCAGAATATGCCGCATTAGCTTTCGGTATGGGCAAAATATGTGTGACCTAGCAGAAAATATGTAACTACTTTTTGTGTAACCCAGCAGAAAATATGTAAATGGATCTGGGGTGTACAAAATGAACATTTGTGGACTAGTACACGACTAGTTTAGGGCACGTCCTGTTCAGACTATTTCGGGACTATTTTGGGAAAATTTCGGGTTCGTTTCGGGACCTGTTCAGGACCATTTCGGGACTAGTTCGGGAACATTTTAGGACAAGTTCTGTACCATTTAGGGAACAGTTCAGGACTATTTTATGACACATTTGGGACTATTTCCGGCTAATTTACAGCTAATATTACAGCTACTTGGGGGAAAGAAAATAAGATGCCTTTAAACATGCTGAGAAAAGAACACGAAAACTTTACAGCCATGTCACAGGGCAGAGTGAATGCAACATTATTTCGAGAAAACAAAACGTTATTAAATGAAATTAAACAAATTTTTATTTTTTTGTAAAACAATAAAATCTAAGAAGTACAACGAAAAAGAAATTAATTTAAAGGAGGAAAAAATATGTAAAATATTTTCTAAAAATTAAATTAATTTAAAAATATGTATTTATATATGTATTTCAGTTTACAATAAAATCTAATATCTAAAAGAGAAATACATTAAAAAATAAATAAAAAATACAACGACTCGAACCTCGGATTCCGCGCATGACACGCCAGTGCTTTGCCATTGGAGCAGCGCGAACAAAATTATATACATACATGCATCTCCATTTGGAACATGCTCAAGTGCTTTCTATCTTTTCAACATTCAAGTTGGCAATACAGTTTTTTTTTGTAAATTTTTTTAACTAGCTTGCCTACTGTCAATTCAATTCAATTGTCTTACAAAAGACTTGCAACTATCTTAGCCAGAATAGCCCCGTTAGATGTAGCAAACCCGCACTGCAAGCAGTTTGCTTGGCATGTAGCTCCAAAGGTATATAATACAGTAAAGCATCCGTTATGAATGTATGTATGTAGGCCTCGGTCCGCGTTTATCGCATCATAGAGTTATTTTGGTTCACTCTAATGTACATATATACTGGTATGCTGTCCAATATTAATATTTTTTCTAGCGCGTGAACGTCATTAATTTTTCCAACTGTCAATTAAAGTAGACAATTTGATTGACAGTTCACTCCCATCTATTCAATTAGCTACTTTATCAATAAGATTTTCAATTTTTTTATAAATACATAAAAAAAATTTTGATTATTTTGTATTCATATCAATGCGCGTATGCTGTTTACAATTCACGCAACAGTTCAGTTGTTCAGCAACTATTTTTAAAATCGACTGTCGATTTTCCCGCGCACGGAATTATTATTTATTACAATTCAAGTAACGTGCAACAAATACACTATAACATTTATCGGTGTATGTGTGTATGTGTGTACATAAGTGCGATAGTACAACACATGCAATTAAGTAAAATGCCAAGCAATTTGTATGCGTCGCGTTAATTGTTGCTACTGGCTTGGTTGGCGCATATTTTTACATATTTGCACTTTTGCGATTATCAATTTTCTAATTGCCATAGAATAATCAACGTGGATTTACATACATACATACGTACGCACACATATTGAGGTTAATGTACCAGCAATTGACAAATGCATATATGTACATATGTATGTATGTACATTTACATTTCCACTCACTAATAAATACATAGAAATCCATTTGTGTTTTGTTGATTTGTTGATTTGATTGCCAGAAACTTTTATTTGGCGCGTCGAGCAGACAGACAGATAGCCGGCGCCATCAGCTGACGCACGGCGATAACTCTATAACCTTGAACTTGAACTTTCTAGCTGATGGCGCTGTGTAAAGGCCCAGGCATATTTTCGCGAAACATTAGCTGTCATAAAGGCATGCAAACCTATTGAATATTGCATATAAATACTTAGGCATGCGCTTGCGTCCGCAATTAATTTGAAAATTTATAATCAAATATTTTTGCTAATTATTGCTTGGCGTTGATTTGCATGCGTGTCAAGTTGCTAGTTTGACAATTTGTTGACTGTTTTAAATGTGCGAATACTCGTGCAAGTTCCAGTTGCGAAAATTTCACGGAATAAACGCATTAACTGATAAGAGATTAAATTTGTTTTGAACTAAGCAATTAATGTGAAGCCAAGTAATTCTGTGAACATTTTTGTGCTAAAAATACCGCAGTTTTTGAACAGAAAAAATTATAGACGTATCTTTGCTCGAGCAATTCCGGAATCGAAAAACTATACCCAACGAATGGTTTGTCATCCAAGACACAAATTTTTTACAAAACTCTTACTTCTTTTTCTAATGAAGGAGGTTAGGCTAAGGTCGCGCTTTGACTTTACAGCACAGTCCTTTGTGATATCCCCCAAGAATGGTAAGTGCTAGGCGAAAAACGCTGAATGCCAAGGACAAAGTTTCTTAGGCTAAGTGAATCGCGCGACGCGAATACGCTAGGTCATGTACCTAGCCTTAGGTGGGAAGCTATCCGTTACGAAGGAACCTCAGAGCCAGCCTAAAACTGCGATCTTAGTCGTTTAGACCGAGAAAGTGTTGAGTTGATTCTGCCTCATCGCCCTCTGAGGTACAGCTACGACAGTGAGGATATAGTCTCATCGCGTGGAGATGAATCGGTTAGTGTCCCCCTCACTGCAATTGAAAGTTGCGGCTTTGTGTGTGCAAGAAGATCCCTAGACGGCCTACGGTCCAACTTTGGCCAGAAAGACCTCACAGTGTGTCCAACTTTTTGTCTAGCGTCTGAGCTGACACGTAGAACATATATACCACCCCTCCACACAAGGTTTCATAACCCCTTACAAGTCTAACTAGAAAATATTTAATCAGGCACAGCTGAAAGAAATGTCGGGAATTCCTCTACTAGTTTTCAGCTCATCGTGAACGAGACCAAGAGTCGGGTTACCGCTTCGATGTCGCAGCAGATTCCACCTGATTCGAATTCTATAATATCTTAGAGAGTTAAATAATCCTGTCAAATCATTACCGTAACATACGATTTAGACTTTTTTTAAGCTGTCGGTAATATGTTCTATTTTGCTACATAAATATTCATTTCTCTAGTAGCATGTACCTTCTAGAGCTATTGCTGCGTTGGGTAAAAAAATATTCAAATAAAAACAAAAAAGTCTAGACACTAGAGCTACAATTTATCAATTTAGACAATGTGAATTTTGCGTTTGCGTCTTTTGATTTATTGGCAAACAAAACCAAGTTCAATGACATTTACAATTAAATTGGTCCAACTTGAAAACGGAATAGCATAGAAAGTATTTATTAATAATTAAATAGTTTTGCTTTTAATGGAAAAATTGGTATCACTTATTTTTAATTTTTCTGAACGGAGACTACTTTGAAATTATTCAACAATATTTATAAGAGCTAGTATTTAGTGAAACTTAATAACATTTCGAGCGATTGCAATTTGTATGTATATACATATTTGCTTGCTTTGCAGATGTATGGTGCACACACCAACGAAGACTTGTGGAGCAGCTTTGCCCTGACTCGCGGTCCGAACCACCAATTATCCAATTCGCTACTTTAAGTAAGGCAAGTACTTCCAGTTAAAAAACCATTATCACCGAGATCCCCAAGGAAGCAGTTGGATTTCTTGTTTATTATCCTGTAGGAAAACTAATATCGTACTTTCTTCCAAAAGGGACTCAAATGATCACATTTTGGGTAAAAAACAAAAAGTCCTATTTTGCAAACAATTTGAACAGATCAGTGTAGTTATAAATCTGGCCGTTGCGCCGCAACAGGAAAGAATTCCGTCGAGACATAGCCTTAAGTAGAAGCAACTGGACCTAGACATTAATCCGGGAGTATAAAATTAAACATTGTATTAAGGCGTACCTTATCATTGGTCCATGTCCATTATTAACCTTGGCACTTAGATGATCTATTTTCAGTACTGGAATGCGTCTGTAAATCTTTATACTCTCATAAACTAATAATACATCTGTCTGCTTATGGCTGATTAAGATGATCCATTATCAAAAACTTTTAGGCACAAGTCACAGATCATTTCCGTTCCGGCCAAAATTTTGTACATAGAACCTCTATGCACGTCCGCATAAAATTTACAGAAATATGCATCACCCGCGGAATATGTTTTGCTACTGACTGGAGAACTGGTGTAAAGAAGCCTGAAGGGTGTGCTCTAGCAAAGCCCTTCTTGATAATTTTTGAGCAAAGAAAACCCGGTAATGTTTTCATGTTTTAGGTATTCATAAAAGCAAGGCTAAAAATTCATGTTATTTTGTGCTTGAAAATTTCCGAAAAAATAGAAAGTATCAAAAGAAACTGCTAGGAAAGACTGAGAAGTCTCGAACCATCCCGAGAGACACTGACAAACTCCCGGAAAAACATCATAAAACAGGTAAAAGTTTCAAAAATTTCCGAAAACCCTCAAAAAATTCGGAAAATACGTAATAAAATCCTCATAATATCGCGAAAAATTACGAAAGATTTACAGGTACATTTTTACCTTTACTTGAAACTCAAAAGGAAAAATACTCAGTATTTCTTTAAAATCCAAAAGGTTTAAATACTCCAAAAGCAAAACTAATGTCAAAGTTCCGAACAAGTAAAACAAGTTCCGCAAAAATCCTAAAGGTCCCGAAAACTGTATACGAAAATTCCATATAGAATCTTCTTCAGGAGTGAGTAAATCTGCTAAAAAAATAATTGGCAAATTTTCTCATTTATTTTTGCATTTCTCGAGTAAGTAATAAATATGCTCAAGTGAGACGAGTCTCATGATAACTTCGAAAATTCGAAACGATATGTACGCTATGCATGTGCATTAGGGTGCGTTACTCTCCATACAAAGACTGTTTTTCCATTGGAATTATAAAATGTATTATATTTTAAGACTTCCGTAAAAATATTTTGGAAAGATATTAAACTTTACGAGAGCTTTGAAAATAACTCCAAAAATACAGTTCTTTTTATAAATAAGTTAGTTTTTAAAAAATATGTTATCTTTCCAAAAGATTGAATCAGAGGATAGAAAAGTTTAAGCTTAAAATGTCTGCATAAACATATTTAAAAACTTAATCAAGAGAATCAAAATAATGAGATTATTGATGCTTTTTTAAAGTCGGTGCAGCTCACATACGAATCTTAATATTTCCCCGAAATGTTTTGGCGGAAGTCTTAAAATATATTGTATAATTCACACATACAAAAAACACAATTTTTGTTTTAGTGGAACACACTAATGTACATACATATGATGTGAGAGTGATAATTAAAAGGAACCTACGGCTACGGGCAGAAAAAATGTTTCCTCAGCAATTCTTATAGTAGATGCTACGCTCTTTTTAGTTGAATTACCTTTTTTACAAACTCCATTCAAGTATGGATATATTTTGACAAAAACGGTGCATATCAAATTCTTCAAAACTTATTTTCGAACCCTAGATCCCTTCACAGTCACACTTGCACTTTTTTTATAAAAATCTAAAAATAAGTACATTACTTAACAATCTCCGCTCAAAAGTCACCCCATGGGAACTGATCCCATCTAACCACTTTTGTTACCACCTCAAATTCACTTACTGCAAATATATATCTCTCTCCTAGTTCATTAATACTTTTAAACACTTGCAGTCAATGCACACTTCCGCATATGGCAACTCAACATAAAAAAAAATTAAACAAATATTTATTTTCATACAACAATTATAAAAACATTTACAACAAAAGCAGCAAAAATGCAGGCAACAACCAAGATAGATACATGTGTAATTACTGCGCACGGTGCACCCAGGGTGACAAAAATGTGCTAATTGACCATTAGACGAGGCGAGAAATGACACGTTATGAGTGCATATGCACGTAGTTGTGTGTGTGTGTGTTGAGTGTTTATACATATGTACAGTGGAATGTGTGCAATTTACGCGATGTGATTGCAGTACAAATGGCGCTTATACGACTAGGTGCACCCGATGTGACACTCGACAGATGGATGGTTGGAAGGTGGGGGATGGAGATACAACAAATGTACACATGTATCTGTAAATGTGGATATGTGTGTATGTATGTTTTTTATTAATGTGCGAAAAACATTGAAAATTAATATTAATGTAGTTTTTAAGCAGAGCTACACCAACAAAAAATGTGTTATGGAAACTTGTGTGAGCGGATAAATATTTAATTTATAAAAAAATGGTCCTCCGCAATAACGACACAACTCAAAACCCCTTACTATTGAACACTAACACATGTCTGTAATCTTTGTCTAATGCATGCCTAATCTTTACTAAATTTGTATGATTGCTTTATAAGATTTATTAAGGATTAGGTAAGGGCTAGCATTTTAGCAACTTTTGCTATTTTTCTCTGTTGAAAAATTTTTTATTATTTTTTTTTATGAAAATATAGCTTAGTATCTTAAAAAACTAGGTAAATCTGAACTTCAAACCTTGTAGAACATTTATAAAAATTCGACAAAGTTTAACACATTTTAATCAAAATTTGAAACTTATTAATTTTATAAGTACTCAGTTTTATAGGCCATTAAATTTTAGTGTAATAAAGTGAAAGTTTGAAAGAGCTTAAATGTCGTCCTCTTTTGTTCCCAAAAACGCTCAGAGCAAAATGAGAACAAAATCTTGGGGAGTGTTTTTACAAGAGGGAAAGTGAGAACAAAACTGTGGACAACGTTCTCAACGGGAATTATACAAGAACAAAACCCCGAGGAAAGCTCGCAAAGCGAACAAAATGCAAACAATACTTTCGCGAAAATTTTTAACAGAACAAATTGGGAACAAAATTCTCCGGAAAGTTTCGGCAGAGAACAAGGCTGGAACAATAACTTTCGAAGAACAATTTCACAACTAAAGTCTCAGAAATGTTCAGGCAGAGAACGAAACGAGAACAAACCAACTCTGAATTATTCGCAAAAAATTCAAGCGAAAACAAAATTTTTCTCTTGGCGTTCCATTAGTTTTAAATGTTTGAATATTAAAATTAATTAAAAAAGAACGTAAAAATAACTATACAAATTAAGTCAACGAAAGATCTAAGACACGAACTTTGCCTGCACAGAAAATTAAAAACTGTTCCATAAATGAACAGTTCGCCCTAATGATAAACGATATGAGGTGGAAATGATCCAGTTTTCCTCTGGCTTAGAATTAAAAATCATGATTCTCACTAAAACGATTTTTCATCCCAACACGCAAATGCCTCTCTAATTCGTAACGTTAAGTTCTCAAAACGTCTGTTCTCGTCTTGTTCTAATACATAATGTTCCCCAGACTTTTGTTCTTATTTCATCCTCTTTGAAAACGTTCTAAGTACTCTCGTTCTTATTTCGTACTCAATGGAAACATTCCCGAAAGTTTCGTTCTCATTCTGTTCTTATTGAGAACTGACTTGAAAACTTTGTTCTAATTATGTTCTTTTCGAGAACATTCCCGAGAGTTTTGTCCTCGTTTTATTACCGTTCAAACTGCTCTTTATGCATAAAAAAAATGCCAAACCATCAAAGCTAAGTCCAGGCAACTTCAAACTTGCACCGTGCATACTTCTGTGTTTCTCATAAAAAATAGGAAAATAGTTAAAAAATTTAAATATCTCTTCTCTATTTATATTTTCACCACTGCATATCAAGATCTTTTTTTTCTCGATTTTTCAAAAGTTAATTTGTCGCTTGTGCTCTTAATTGATTGCTAAATATCTTGCTGCAACATTAAAAGTTATGTGCGCTAAAAAATTGTGCTTTTTTTGTTGTTCTTGCCTTTGTTCGCAAAGCACAAATGACTGTGTGCAATACACAGGTGAAATAAATTAATGTGACATTTAAAAATCTAACAAGTTTTTATGGCACAGAATAGTCATTAGCGTGCATTTTTTAAGTATGAAATAATCTTTGGTCTCTAGGAAAAAATATACATATAAAAAAAAAGCGGAAGACATAATTTATTACCTTTTGGTATGGTTGTCACATAGTAATAGTATGACTCGGACTTGGATTTGAACAAATCGGAAACATAAAAGTTGCCAGTATGCTCCTGGCAGGTATCGTTGCGACCCTCACAAACGCCACATCTGTCTGTAAAAAAGTAGGAAAAATGTGCGATTTAATAAATGTTAAAAGCTTTCAGAAAATGTTAACAAAGTCCAGGCTGGTTTCAGCTGTTGCACAGTGTTATTTTAACACAAAAAATTTGTACAAAAAATTAAATTATTTTATTAGACGTACGTATATAAATTATAAAGCGCTAAATCAGCGGCCACACAAAAAATCAACACGTTGATATTTTTTTTATATTCAAATTTTCAAATAATTTTCGAACACATCCCGCATTGTCGTGTGAATGATGTGATGGCTGAATCATAATTTTTTATTTTTTTTCATTAGCTCTACGCTAGCATTGAGGGACTCGTCATCATCATAGTACGTTGCCACATCACCTTGACTGTCCATCATCGGCACTATGTCGCTGCTAGTCCAGCTGTGCCGGCACTATGCGCATTTATCTGACCACGCCGATGGACATATAAATATTTTATTTATAAATATTCTTTCATTTTGTTTATATATAGATCCATATTTCATGGCCGGCGTTTGTTTAAAAATACACTTTTTGTTTAATAAATCACCGCATTTTCACGCACAGCCATTTCCGTCTATCGAAGCCATACCAACATTTACTTATTTTCTTATGTCTAATAGATAATTTCAATATTTGCCAATTTTACCTAATTTCGCCAGCGAATTCAATTCATTGTCACAACCTGCCGGCCGGCAAATGCCATTGACACACTTGTCAAAACTGTCGAATGAACATGTGGTGCCGTCTTTCACCTTGTCCGAGAGTTTAAAATACGCGCTGTTGTCTTCCAAGCGGCAAAACAATTTGCATTTGTCCGCCGAGGACACTGGCAAAGGAAAGGGAAGAGGGAGAAGAAAATAATAAAAAATAAAAATAAAAAAATTTACCATAACAAATACTTATTGTTATCACTAAAATTATCCACTTACAACCATACTTGGGTATCCATTTGGCCGAACGTGCAATACCCTTGCTGGAGAAATTTCTGCCATTCATTTCGTAGCACTGCTGCTCACGCGAATCCATTGTGCCCGGCGGACATGCATGCGTATTGCACGAGCGATATTTCTTACGACTGCCCGCACAATATTTACCACCATTCTTCGGCAATGGATTGTTGCATTCCCGCTGTGATTCCTGTACGCCACCGCCACAAGTCAAACTGCAAGGTGTGAAAGCGCTCCATGCACCCCAACCGCCGTGTATGGCCTGCAACGATTTACCTTCACGCGGCACACATTCGCCCTTCTGACACCAGTGGCGGTCGTTGTTGCACGGAGTGCCATCGGCCCAGGGCAAATTGCTGCTGCGACAATCACTGCTGCTGCTATCCGTTTTGCACCACAAACGCTTGCATTCGCCATCGATGCGACAGTAGCGCGATTGATTGCCATGAATTAGCTGGCATTGATGGTTGAGCGAGTAGATCTCACCGGGCAACTTGGTGTTGAAGTTCTTAATGTAGAATGTGGGCGTATCTTCGAGGCAGGATTTGTCTTCTTTTCTACGGGGCGAGGGGAGAGTGGAGTTAACAAGAGGGAGAAAGTGTGAATAAATACAAGGAAGAAGGAAAACATCTTCGGGTCTGTGCTAAATACAAATTAGGCTTTAAATAAATTAGATTTTCTTAAGTACTTACTCTAAAAATTCCGAGACATAATTGCGCGAACAATCCGACCACGACCACGGATGAATGTCGCTGCCCATAATACTCGACATAATATGCATTTTATTTTTAGTGCCCGGTCGATTGAAAGGTTTGCATAGATCATCGTCATCATGTGGCATATTTAACCTGAATAGAAGATATAAAAAATCATGAATGTGGGCTTAAAGCTTTTGCCTGAGGAGACCCCTAGTAAAATTTTTCGAAGAATAATTTTCTAGAATATATCAATCCAATAACAAACTACCAAATTTGCTTTTTCCGGGGATTTTTTGGAGTAAGGGTCAAAACGACCTTCCCAGGCGGGAGTTAATGGGTTAAAATGTTCTACGAAAATATTTTCCATGCAATATTGCTATATTTGTTTTAACCTTTAATTTCGCATTGACATTTATTTTAATCATTTTTTCCACCTTTTTCAAACTACTTAGTTTTTAAAAATAGGAAATCACAAGGCTGGTTGCACTAAAAGTCCTTACGGTTTCCTCACGATGATGAATGGCGTTTTGTTTTAATATTTACAATGTTTTCAAATAAAATTTTTTTTATAAAAATATGGTTCATGCTTTAACCAAAACCATATATGTACATATTTGTTGAATTTTGCATTTTCTCTCTGTATTTTCTAAGCTCTGTATAAAGTTTGAAAGGTTGATTTATATAATTTTGGGTCAAGCATGAACCCTATTTTTATGAAAAAATAACAAAAAAATTGTAACTTTAAAAACTTGCAAATATTTAGCAAAAATCACCATGTACTCATTTCTGCTCGCCACTGTACATATTCAAAAAAAAAATATTAAAAATCGCTTATTTTACTAAATTTTGTATAAATTCTGATTAAAAATTAAAAATTCTGTATAAAAATTAATTGAATTCTTGTGAGTCCTATATAAAGTCTGAAAGTTTGATTTACATGGTTTTGGTTAAAACACGAACCATATTTTTATAAGAAAAAAAATGTTGTTTGATATCATTGTAGATATTAAAAACAAAACACCATTCATCCAGTTTTGACCGCCACTGTATATTAATACGCTAATTTCAGCAATATTTCAAGTTTAAAGAAAATGTAAATAAGAAAACCAAAATTTAAGACTAACTAATTCAACTTACACATGCCCCAACTCGTGCGCAATGGTAAATGCGGCCGGCAATCCATTATCCTGTACTATGGAACACGATCGACGCTTGCAGACAGTGCCCAGTTCTGCCAGACCCAAAGTGTCGCAGCGCTCACCTTCATTGCCGCAAATTTGATCGCTGCAAATAGAATTTAAAAAAAAAAATGTTTTAATGTCTTAAATTAAATTTTTGTTATAAAGTCTTTTGCATATTTCATATATGTAATATAAGTGGTTATTTTTCAAAGAATGCAGCTCACCGTGTAATGAGCATTGCTGTATCATAGTGGTAACCCTGCTTCGAAAAAATATTACAAAATTCCTTCAACATTTCAGACGCTGACTTGGCTGAAAAGAGTAAAAATAAAATATGCAAAAATAAATTTTATAGAATTTGTAAAACTTCACAAGTGATTATCATTATTGGTCGCTACTGGGTCACAAAATACCACTACCACCACACAAACAAACACACAAATACGCACCTTTTCTGCGATCGTCACGCAGAATCAATATATTCGCCACAGAAATATAAATCGAATTGCCAATACTGGCATCAGCAAATATATTCGAAACAATCGAGATTAGCGTAAGTATGTACGATTTCAAATCGGCACCGTGAAATTCACTCATCGTCTTATCGACAGCCACCAGCACTTCCATGGTGAAGACATGACGGTCGACGTAGTTGCGTTTCTTGCGATGCAGCTTTGTGAATAAACTCTCTTCGAGCTCCAGCAATTCCATGCCCAATGAATCGGCGGCGACTGCGTGTCTGGCATTGCGACGCGAATGACGCCACACTTTGTGCAACACCTCCGAATCGCCATCGCCCGTTTGATTGACCGGTTGTATGAGCAGTGAGCCAAAACTTGTTTTAATGTAACCAGTCTGTGTGGGCGAGAGAGAGAGAGAGAGAGGTGGAGAAGGGTGCAGACTTAGTATTTGTTTTGGATGCATGTGTGTGCGTGTATGTGTTAAAATATGTGATTAAAAAGATAAACAAATACTTTTTTTTTTAGGTGAATATAAATAAATGTTGCTAACAAAGCTGGGCGTGTATGCAATAAAAAAAATAGATTAAATATTTTTTTTTAATCAGTGTGGTTTGTCGGTTAGTTAGAGCTGTAAATAGCCTTTAGAATAAGGTAAGGCTAGTGTCTTAAGCGAGTAGAATCGGCTAAGTGTCTGTGGGAAGCAATTGAGCATTAATTAGTGCAAAGTTACCCCTTAGGGGTATATTGGAGACACAACTCTTACGGACACCATTAGCGTAGTCTAAAAATTCTGAATTGGCACAGTCAACAGAGTATTCGCCTAGCAAACCTGATCTCGCACGTTCGATTCTTATTAGATTACATGTTTTAAGCGACTATAGTCTCTTTCAGGGCCATAAAATAGCAATCTAGTGGCATTTTCCTCGCCACTGATTCTGGCGTCTGTCCGGACTAGTTGCAGCTTTTACAGGGTTTATTTCTATATGCCAGTATGTACAAATGTACCTATCATTTTCTCTCCATCTTATGGCATTGGGTGTGATTTTTTTATTTATATTTATATGCTTGCATTCAACGTGTTTTTCTTTGTTTGCCCAGGGGACATGTGTGGGTCGCTTAGCACGATCGGTAGCATGTAACGATCAGACAAACTTAGGTATGGCCGTATGTACATACGTATGTATATAATCTTTTATTAACATTAACAAATGGTTGAAAGCAACTACATAAAAGTGATTTATTGCAAATTGCAAATGCTTCTAATCAATGAATTTATGAGCATCGGATGCTACTGTACAGAAAGCGCCAACTGCAGCTATCGGCACAAATGCACACATTTACGAACAAGAATGAAATTTTACAAACGGCAGCAATACAGTAAAAGAAATCCATATCTCGTTTTCACAAATTTTAAAGAATGACCTTGTTCTCGGCAATTGGCAATAAACGAGAACTCGTTCCACCACTGTTTTGGAGTGAACTAGTTACCTTAACCTTAATCATTTTTATTGAGGAAAGGCAGTACCGCTGCGTATATTTTTTAGCCGGCAGTTGCAGTGTCTTTCCGGACGAAGTTCTAAAAATGTCGACTTGTAGCGGTAACATCTTTTAAATGGACTTTTATTTATATTTTTGTTCCGGATCTACGTAAACGTAACGACATTTCCCAAAATTATTTGAGAATAATTATGCTACAAAAACAACAACAACCTCATATTTGAATTGTATGAAAATTTCGAAAAAGGTTTTTTTTCAGTAGGATCACGAACCTCAAATCAAATTCTTATTTGCATACCTTGGTCCGTCTAAACTGTAAGTTTGCATATCACTGTCCTAAACTGGTTTCTGTGTATTATTTTCTACAGGGCCGCTACAAATACATGTGTTGTAAGCACATTAGCCGCGTGGGCAGCGTGATGAATACAAAAAAAAATTTCCAACTATTTCTACTGCCGTATTCTACACTTGATTAATTGCATTGGTAGGTAAAAAAAAAACTTAAATTTTTCTTCATTTTTCATTGCGAAATGAAATAACTTACCATGCCATTGCAGAGTGACACGGACACCGTTGATTGTTTATCGCCTTGCACTTCGCCTTTGTAAAAACAGCCCAGTGAATGGGCGTTTGCTTCGTCTTCATCCTCTTCCTCTTCGGTTCTATTATTAAGTATACGAATTACCTGTAACGAAATGAAATAAAAAATGTTTGATTTTAGAAATACGTGCAGTCTAATTTTTGATATCAGCAGGGCTTTCAGCATTGATTTGGACTACCACTCTGCAAATTTTAGACTTTTCAATATTTACCAAATAGAATATTTAAAATTAATGTTGCAACGAACAAAAAGTGTCGACAAGCTTTTTTTAGTTTTACTGAAAAATTAAGTGCAAATTATTTATGGAAAGTGATTTTTTTTTAATACATTATATACGAG